CGCGTGCGCGCCACGGGCGCGCCCTGTTGCCGGCCGGCTGGGGGCGCGCACCCGCCCGCAGCCGCCGCGGACGCGGGTCGGAGCAAGCCCTGGCCCCCCTCCGCCCAAGTCATGCATTTAAGATAGACTACTCTATAATGATCACAGTGTACCTGATGTTCAGGATTGCTCTTTCCAGCTGCACCTCCTGTGACAGGACCGCCGGCGGCAGCAGGCCCCGCAGGTAGAGCCTATCCCGCTCCGCCTCGCTGAACGCGAGCCCCTTGTTGTACTTTGGGTGCCGCATCAGGTCCACGCCGCTGATGACCTGGCGCACCCACGGGGTGGTGGGGCGGCCGGCCTTGTCCTCGTCGACTTCAAAGCGCGTCGAGAAGGCGCGGCGCGGCACCGAGGCGCTGGGCGCCGCCGCGGCGGCGGGGCGGGGCTGCTCGGCGGCGGGGCACAGGGCCGTCACGGCGTTCCAGGACGCTAGGGCGCGCAGGCCTGCTGACGAGGCGGCCTCTGCGGCATGGTGGCACCCGAGGGCACCGGCTAAGAGTTGTGAAACGCCCGCCAGGGCGCCAGGCCCAATAGCAGGACCTGGCATGGCGGTCACCAAGCCTTATATGGCCCAAGGAGACGGCTTTCGCGTGCAAGAGGGCTAGATCGGTATGAAACTCGCCGCAAAGATGCGCCTGAGGTCGTATGCTGGCTTATGTGGGATACAATCAGGCACACGATATTGCCTTTACGCACATTGGTCGCTAGCTCTTGTGTTGAACTCGGTGACACCGAGTGAGCATCCTAATGCCCATTTCTCCTCATCGCACGGCACACTCGATTCATTTTGATCGTCAAGCTTGATTTTACTCATGCCGGCCGCTGTTTTTCAACCAGATCTGCTACCCGCAGTGCTGCAGTAACTACAAGCAACCCAGGCAGCCCGCGCAGGCAGCATGGGGCAGGTACTAAGCGGCCTTGAGATCAAGGTCTACACGGGTGCAGACCCAGAGGCGCAGGAGAAGTACAAACACCGGCAGCGCAATCGCTGCGACGCGCGCGTCGACGACTTGTGCCGCACTCTCGCTGGCGGCTGGGGCCAGCTGCGTGAGAACGTGCCTGTTGCGTGGCGAAACCTACAGGAGTGCTACGCCGCAGAAGAGGGGTGCGTGTCCCTGCGGAGCGCCAGTGTTACTGGGGTTGAGATGTCGCGGCTGTGGACCGCAGTAGCTCCCAAGCAGCGCCTGCTGGATTTGGCGCCGCTCAGCGCATTTGCGCGAATCCCATCCCCATCTGTGCGGCGCTGCTGCACACGAAAATCATCAACGTCGCGGCAGCCACCATGGCCGGCGGGTGGCGGTAGGAGCAGCGGCGCTGTGATGGTGCTGGCGCATCGCCCCAGCTGAAACCCTGACATGCCGCAACCCACTGTCATGCTCATGCCTTGTCAATGAGCAGGAAAGAGCCCACACACCCATACATATACGTGACCATAAACGAGGCATCATCAGCGCAGCCGCAGCAGGAGCAGCAGCAGCAGCAGCAGCAGCAGCAGCAGCAGCAGCAAGAGCAGCAGCAACAACGAGCAACAACTGGCGTGTCCCCGCAAGCAACCGGCAGCGAGCAGCGTGACGGGCAGGACACGGCTGCCGCAATTACAGGGCTACCACATCGTTCAGAGGGGCAGCCGGCACGACGGTGGTGGGGGCCGCATAGTGAACAGCAGCAGCAGCAGCAGCAGCAGCAGCAGCAGCAGCAGCAGCAGCAGCAGCAGCAGCAGCAGCAGCAGCGGCAGCAACAGCAAGAGCAGCCTCAGCAGTTGCAGCAACAGCCGCTGCAGCGGCCGCAGCAGCAAGACCAGCTGCAGCCGACAGGCGGCTCTTGGTGGCCGTTCCGCGGCGAGCCGAGCCGGTCCCCTTAACCGTGCACTACGCAACATGCCTGACGCCGGTTTTGGCCCCTTCTGGCCCAGGCTGGCGCTCTGCAAGTCACAATCGTGCATGCCCCAGCAGCCGCCCGCGCGGCCGCGCCGGGCCCGCTGCACAAGCGGGCCCCGCCAAAGCCCGCCCAAGCGGGTGTTGCGCGCGGGTCTGTGTCACCGGCCGGTCCAAGGGTGGATTTGAAGGTCATGCAGCTTCCGTTTTATCTTTTGCAACCTGTTGTATCATTCATTTGCGCATTGACCGTGCGCGAGCAAAGCCAACGGATGTAAGACCCCGCGCAACACAGCATACCCGATGACAACCTGACATCCAGCCCTCACTGCGGCGGCGCACATCTGGAGCACCCCCTACTCAGGGCGCTCGGGCACAGCCTTTGCCTAGGTTTTAAAGGGGGCGCTTTCATCCGCACCACTCCCCCCTCACGAGGCCCTGGCGCTGAGCGGCTGCACCTGCCGGCTGCTGGCTGCGCCGCCGCCGCCGAACCCGAACGCCCGCCTGCCGGGGCCGAGACCAGACCCCGCCTGTGCCCGGCCGACAAACACTCACACAACTAGCAGCTGCGACGAGGCCGGGAAGAAAGATGTCAGGTCAGAGAGTAGTATTACAAGACCGGGCGGGTGCGCCGCACCGCAGGTGGCGCGGCGGCCCGTCCCAGGCGGCGCCCCGCCCGCGCGCCGCCGGCGCCCGGGGGGCTGTCGAGGCGCGCGAGCGGGGCGCCGCGCGGCGCGGCGGCGCGGGCGGGTATTGAGGGGCGCGGCGGGG